CTCCGCAATATCGCCAAAATACCCTCCTTCCTTACCCCCAGACACCACTAAACTACTTGTGCACTCCCTGATTATCTCACGCCTTTGACTACTGCAACTCCCTCCTCACCGGCCTACCCCAGTGCAGGCTCTCCCCGCTTCAGACCATCCTCAACTCAGCGGCTAGATTCATCCACCTCTGCCACCCCCCTCTGCCTCTCCCTCCACTGGCTCCCTATCGCCCAACGCATCAAATTCAAACTACTCACTCTGACCTACAAAGCCATTCACAACACTGCCCCTAACTACTCACCAAAGATTCCCAAGTACCACCCTACCCGTACCCTTCGCTCTTCACAGGACCTCCTTCTATCTTGCTCCCTGGTCTCCTCCTCACACGCACGTCTGCAAGACTTCTCCAGGTCCTCCTCCATCCTTTGGAACTCACTACCCCCAATCCATCAGACTGTCACCTTCCCTCCTCACCTTCAGGCGCTCCCTGAAAACCCACCTCTTCAGGGAAGCCTACCCCACCCTCACCTAACTGCTGCTCTCCTTCATTCCTCCTACCACTCCATCCCCCACAGCCACTTCCTCCTGTACCACTACCCCCTCCCTCCTAGACTGTAAGCTCGAAAGAGTAGGGCCCTGTAACCCCTCGTGTGCTGTTTGTAGTTGCTGTAATGTTTATGTATTGTCCCCCCCCTCTATTGTACAGCGCTGAGCAAACCCTTTGGCGCTATATAAACTCAATGTAATGTAATGTAATAATTTGAAAGAGTAGACACCACAAAGTGCATGCTGTTGTTCTTACCTTTAAAAGTCTCTTCTGTGGCCCACTGACACATTAGATTTGCAAAGCAACCAATTCTTTGACATGGGAGATAAGCTGTACCACCTGCTCCACTGTCCCACCACTTACGAATTTCAGTTCAGATCAGATAGAGCTTCTATTAGATAGTAAGAATATTGGTGGGCAGAGTACATCGCAGGAAACGGAGGACTTCACATACCTGAGTACTTGGGTTGTGCTGCCACCTTCAGGTTAATGGGCACTGGAAAAAAAGGCAGGGATCCCTTCTCTAGCATAACCCCTCCCAGCTCAGCTAAGGCTCAGTCAAGCAAGGAATACAAGCAAGAGAGGAATCTCTGCATCCTGCATACACCAAAAAGAGGATTTTGCAGGTAAACCAAAAATCTTAATTCCTTAATTGCACATCACAGGACACAGGACTACATATACATAACTACTTGGAACATCCCAAAGCACTGAACATGGGGGTGGGCAACACAGCAACAAGGCCAACATTCCCAAAACCCTGTAACAGAGCAGGATGGAATCCCAACACTGTAAGACCTTTCACCCAAAGCCTGACCCCTTTGTTTACTTAGTGGTGGGGGGGAGCGTCTCTCTCATCTGGCGGTTGACAAGCAACTGGAATGATCGTGAAAGTTTTCTTTACTGCTTGGGTCGGTGGCCAGTGTTCATCAGGATTGATGATGGATTTTCTTTGGATTATATTTTTGTTTAATTTTTTTTTTATTAAAGAACTTGCCAAAAACTGTTTGTGTTATATTTACTTTTGATATTTTTTGGTGAATGAGAATACTAATTCACATGGAAGGGGCCAGGATCTGGGGTCCCCTTTGTAAAAGGGGGCTTCCACATTCCGATATGCTACCCCCCACAACCACCAGGAGTGTTGTAGAGAAGAGGCCCTTGTCCTCATCAACATGGGGACAAGATACTTTGCTGGGGCGTTCCCCCCCAGCAAAGTGCCCCCTCCATATTGAGAGGAAGTGGGGGCGCTTACTCCCCTCCTTTCCTGGCCTGTCGGGCTACAAATTTGGATAAGGGTCTGGTATAGATTTTGAGGGGCCCCGCGCCATGTTTTTTTTTTTTGGTGTGGGGTTCACCTTAAAATCCATACCAGACTGAAGGGCTACCCTGTTTTTTAACCACTTCACATCCGAGCTATAGCCAAATGACAGCTACAGGATTACAGTGAAGGAAATAAGTATTTGATCTCCTGCTGAATTTGAATGTCTCCCCACTCACAAAGAAATTATAAGTCTAAAAATCCAGTGGTAGGTGTATTGTAACACAGAGACAGAATAGCAACAAACAAATTCTAAGAAATGCATGTCTAACAAATTATGCACTGATTTGCATGTTCATGAGGGAAATAAGTATTTGATCCCCTATCATTCAGCAGGATTTCTGGCTACCAGGTGTCTTTCATACAGGTAACAAGCTGAGATTAAAAGCAGTCTCTTAAAGGGAGTGCTGCTAATCTCATTTTGTTACCTGTATAAAAGACACCTGTCCACAGGAGCAATCAAACAATCAGATTCCAAACTCTCCACCATGGCAAAGACCAAAGAGGGATGTTAGGGACAAGATTGTAGACCTACACAAGGCTGGACTGGGCTACCAAAACTATTACCAAGCAGCTTGGTGAGAAGGTGACAACAGTTGGTGCAATCATTCGCAAAAGGAAGAAACACAAAACAACTGTCAGTCTCCCTAGGTCTGGTGCACCATGCAAGATCTCACCTCGTGGAGTGTCAATGATCATGAGAACAGTGAGGAATCTTCCCAGAACTACACGTGAGGATTTTGTCAATGATCTCCAGGCAGCTGGGACCACAGTCACCAAGAAAACAATTGGTAACACACTACACCAACAAGGATTGAAATCCTGCAGTGCTCGCAAGGTCCCTCTGCTCATGAAAGCACATGTCCAGGCCTGCCTGAAGTTTGCCACTGAACATCTGAATGATGCAGAGGAAGACTGGTTGAATGTGTTGTGGTAAGATGTGACCAAAATCAAGCTCCTTGCCATCTACTCAACTCGCCATGTTTGGAGGAGGAGGAATGCTGTCTATGACCCCAAGAACACCATCCCAACTGTCAAACATGGTGGTGGAAACATGCTTTGGGGGTAACATTTCTGCTAAGGGGACAGTACAACTGCACCGCATCAAAGGGACGATGGACGGGGCAATGTACCGTCAAATCTTGGGTGAGAACATTCTTCCCTTAGCCGAGGCATTGAAAATGGGTCGTGGATGGGTGTTCCAGCATGACAATGACCCAAAACACACGGCCAAGGCAACAAAGGAGTGGCTAGCAAAAAGAAGTACAATAAAATCCTGGAGTGGCCTAGCCAGTCTCCAGACCTTAATCTGATTGGAAATCTGTGGAGGGAGCTGAACATTTGAGTTGCCAAATGTCAGCCACCAAACCTTAATGACTTGGAGAGGATCTGCCAAGAGGAGTGGGCTAAAATTCCTCCTGAGATGTGTGCAAACCTGGTGGCCAACTACAGGAAACGTCTGACCTCTGTGATTGCTAGCAAGGGATTTGCCACCAAGTACTAAGTCATGTTTTGTGAAGGGGATCAAATACTTTGTTAGACATGTATTTCTTTTGAATTGTTTGTTGCTATTCTGTCTCTCAGTGTTACAATACACATACCATTCGATTTTTAGACTGATCATTTCTTTGTGAGTGGGCAAACATTCAAAATCAGCAGGGGATCAAATACTTATTTCCTTCACTGTATTTACCTGCAACCTGCTATTATTAGTAGCTCACTGATTGTGACCCAAAAATACAAGATTAGATGCTGCTGAGGTAGGGAGGTGAAATCCAAACTAGACCGCTGTGAGTGCTGGTAGGGATAGGGAGCTTGTCCTAGCTCCAATCTATGACAGTGTCAGAAGGAAAGATCCATAAGCCGTACGTCAAAGGCAGACCCATGTGCGTGAGATGAGATGAATGGCAGCCTCAATCCGGACTCCAGCCAGGCCACGCCTCCAACACATTTCACTCCACCCCTTGGAGCTTAATCATGTGGATAGCTCACTGATTGCTTGTTAAATTAAAAGGACAGTCTAGATGACAGGTTTACTTTAATAAAATAAATCATCCATTTATTTAAATAAAACATCTGCAATTGCAGAAACTGTGAGATACTTGTTCACCCCCCTCCTCCCCCCAAATATTTATTGAAATACATGCATGTTAGTTATATAAAAGGAAAGTCATGTACTCCTTTAACTACTAGCTTTATGTTTCTTACCCTATTAGCCTACATTTTTTGGTGGTGCATATTTTGTCTTAAATATTATATTTTAGTTATAAATGTTACATTACATCAGACAAATCAGCAAGAAAAGTCAGTCATATTTCATCAGAGAAAAGTTAGTTCACAGCAGTCTTTATGCTGCTGGTCCATACCAGGGCAAATTATAGATAGTAGATACATTCTGCTAAACAGTGCATTGGAAAGCAAAGTGTTATATCAAATCTGAACCCAATTTTAGGTGTATATTTGTCCGTCAGACTAATATGCTTTCCTAAATTCCTGCAGATATATCTGGCATGTGCAATAAATGGTCCTCAACAAAAAAAAAAATCATTAGAACACTGAAGAGTTCAAAATATCACCAGAATCTGTTTGATTTTATCAAATAATTAAAATATAAGTGAGTGTGTGCACATTATCCGTATTTAAAATGTATCCATATGCAACCCAAACTATTCAACTATTTAGCTTAATTTCAGTATCAGTTTAGTATTCTGCAAAATTTCAGTCATTCCAAATGCCCATGCTAATGGCCTTCAAATTGTTCTCATAGAGTTCATGTTGAAAAAAAAACTTTTGAGCTGGTAGTCTTTATTTCTATCTCTCAATTCGTCCAAGTATATACATTTTTTGAAGACTAAGGTTAATTCTGTTGCTGTACTTTAAGCCTCCTCTTGTTATTTTTATTTCATAGCCCCAGCTTGAGGGGTAAAGTTGATCAACTGTAGTTACAAAATATGAATGAAAAACTATTAGTAGTTAATAGTTCATTTTCATATCCTTTGCATAAATAAATAAGAGAAACACACATATTCTGTGCTTGATAGTCTTTTCCTCCGGAGCAGATTTTGGGCTTTAAAATTTCAAGTCCAACAAATCAGGCACATCAAGAAAAGGAGATATTCCATATGAAATGTTAGATCTTCTTTATTCCAGTTTATTTCTACTCCCTGCAAATCTGGGAAACATTCCATGCCCAGGAGGCCCAGGAGAATAGTACGTGCGGTACCAGCCACGATATGTGATGTGCCAAAACAAGGTTCCCATGGCTGCACCGACCACACTCTGTGTATATTCATGTGTATAAAGCGCTGTGCACATCAAAAGCAAGTTGTAAAGCCCAGAAGACTGGCATTCAGTAAGAAGACTAAACGCAGAGCAGTTCCAGCTGGGTATCCCCTTCGCAGGTAGCGCACAAACACCGATAGCTCTTCTGCCAAAGACAAGCTGCATAAGGTGAGGGTGAAGGTCTGTGGAGAGATGTGATAACCCTGCCATTGATGCCCTTCCTCCTGGCAGGTTCGCCTAGTTTCCAGCCGTGGTAGAAAGAGTGTACCAGGTGGCATTGGTTGGTGACAGGAACCAGTAAGATCCTCCAAGAGTTGGAAGAGGTAAGGAATACATTGACACAGGGTTGTAGTTATGCCAAGTCTTGTGAGATGCATGAGACATAGCAGTGGACGACCAGTGGGGACCAAAGACACAAGCAGGACAAATCCAGACAGCAGTAGAAATGTCCATCCGCATGAGCAGTGCACAAACTTCCTGTAGGGGAAAACAGTAAAAGAGTGTACTTCATGATCGAGGAAAGTTTTTACTGCTATGTGCCTTTGAGGCAATAGGGTCGATTTACTAAAGACACATTTTTTTCCCCTTAGTTAATGCGGTGAAAACGTATCCAGTCATGTACAAGGAAAATTGAAAAAAAAAAAAACAGTATTTGTTGCTTGCACATGATTGGATAATGTAAATCAGCAGAGCTTCACCTGATTCACTAAGGTAAGGGAAAATTCTCTTGCAAAGAGAACCATCTATTTTCCTTTAGTAAATTGACCTCAATGAGTCAGCAGAATCTCTCCAACAGACAGCATCTTTGTTTTTATTTGCATCAGCAAGGTGCACTGGGATGCCATGAAGAATGAATGGTACACATCACATCAATGCACGGTACTGCCCTGGAATAGTGCCCTTAGTCTTCCTTGCCAATTTGCTATGCACCTTAACTTGATGCCTACTTTAATTTCAAGTCATTCACTAATAGCAGTAGGATGATAAGTGGGGAATTTGGAACATAGCAGCTAGTATTTATGGATGTTCTGGTGCAAGTTTTGTTACATTGTTTAAACCGTTAATGATCTCAAAAGTATCTGTGTACCTCAATTAAAAAATAAATATATATATAAAATATATATCCTGGTTTCAGATGGTTTCCTGCAGATCCATTCAGCCCCATCCAGTGAAGTGACTTACTCCAGTACTTCTAGGTATGAAGAGTATGGGGCTTACTTTCCTTCTTCCCATGAAGCATCACTGGGTGTCTGATCACCCTTTAAAGGATAAATTTGCATATATATTGCGCTCATTTTTACAGGAAAAAACGTGCATTATTTATTTTCACATGGGTCTGCAAAGCATGGCACCCACAATGAGTTGTTGGCAGATACAGTGTCAGACTCTTCTTCCAGCTCCCTGCCCATACCACTGTACAGGCTGTCAGTTGGAGAGCTGAAGGAAGTGTCAATGGACTACAAGTAGGGTGATGGCACCACATTTTGTTTTCCATTGAGACTACAGGTCCATCTGCTGTGGTGGAAGATGGGACTTGTAGTTCATTCATTCATAGATCTCTCCGAATTAATGAAGCAACTGTGCAGTCAGATTTCAAATTTGACAGCTGCTAACCTATGTGCCATTGATAGCCCCTGCGTGGGACATACGTTTTGCCTTATTGGAATTAGAGCGTTGTCTGCTCTATTATGCCTTTTTTATTGGTGCAATTGATAGCCCCTGCGTGGGTGTGTTTTGTTGCCTCTGTTTTATACTGTTTAAAATTAATAAAAACCATTGAAATACAAATTTGACAGCTGCTGTGGGGAAGAACAACTCCCACATGCTGTGAGAGAATGGGGGGGGGGGGTCACTTTTGGGGTGGGAGGGTCACTTAGCAACATGTTACATCCTAAATAGGGTTGTAACATGTTGCTAAAGGTGGAATTAATGGTTGCCATATACTAGACAAACATTGTTTGAAAATCTTGCATTTGGACAGTTTGTTCGTTTTTCATCCAGTTAATGGGCACAAATTGAAAATCGGTAGTGACTTTTTGAGCTAAAAAAAAAAAATCGAAGGAAAAGTTTGGAGAACTTCTGCGGAGCAGATAATAAATTGAAAAGTTAATATATTTCCAGCCTGTTAAAAAGCGAACTGTTTGTACTATGCACATGTAACAAAACAGATGAAAAAACTAGGTAATTTATGTCCATTAAACAGTTTGTTGTTCGGACGTCCATCCATACATGATGGCAATATCGTTTACTCTCATGACTGTGTTAGTTTTTCAAAAACGCATTTGAACAATTTTTCAAACTAGTGTATGGCTAGCATTAGCCTTTAAAAAATTTGGCTAGATCGGCTTGGAGCTTACATAAGGCTTCACTCACATGGGCCAATGGATCAGTGAGGGAGAAAACAAAAGCGGTATAAGGGGGTGAGGGTGTTTGTGGGCTTTACATTCAATCTACTACTTTCTCCTGCATTGGCAAATGGACATTTTTAAAGGCTATCATTTCCAGTCATGTGGTATACTATGTGAACAGCTGGCATCACAATAAGCATTGATGGCTGAATAGCCTGGTTCACACCAATGCATTGTGCTTTTTGTCCGCTTTGCAGTGCGTTTTTTGAATGCACGTTTTGCAGTCAGTTTCTTGTTTGCCAAAGGGGAAATTTTTTATTGCTGAGCACAATAAAAATTCAAAACATGGCAACAACACACTACATGCATTTCAGCACCTTCTCCTTTGAACTCTATTGTAGCAAAAATGCTGCTTTTTGCATTAAAAAAATTCCCTGACCCTTTCCAAAAACGCAGCAGCTCAAAAAAAAGCATAGATGTGAACATGTCCCAAAAGAAACCATGTTAACCACCCTTGTCTGGCCGTTGTATATAAACGGCTGGACGGTGGCAGTGCAGGGTCGGGTGGCCATTTATAAACGGCCTCCCCGCCCCCTGCTTGTGCGCGCTCCCAGCACTGCGATCCGGTGCCCGCTGTGTCCTCCGGACACAGTGGAACACCGATCGTTGTACAGGACATCTGTGCGAGGTCTTTATCATGTGATCACTGATTGGCCAATCAGTGATCACATGCAGAGTAGTAAGCAAGATGTCACTTCTGACATTATTGCTTACTACGTGTGAAATTTGTGAATGATCACAGAGGTCACATGGTACAAGGCTATTCACAACAGCCTTGTACCATGTGACAAGCTGTGACCAATCACAGCTCACACAGTAGTTTTCAATGGCTGCAAGAATGCAGCCAGAGTGAAGGAAAAATTATTGCTTTTACAGCCTTTATGGGTGTAAAAGCAATCAGTGTAAAAAAAAGATCTTCATTACCGCCCACAAGTAGTACAGTGTCACCATGGTGACACTGTACTGCTAGGGTAAGAGTTTGTAAAAAAAAAACCCATAAATAATAATAATAAAAAAAAATAAAAATGTAACAAAACATTTTTAAAAATTATAATTTTTGGTTATAAACTAATTTGGGTTTTTTTTTTTTACTAAAAAGGTAACTTAATAAATTTTGGCCAAGATTTATGATGAAATATTATTTGCAAAATTTTATAAGAAAAACACTTTTTTTTAATTTTTGGACATTTTCTTGTACATAGCAAAAAAAAAAAAATAAAAATCCCAGTGGTGAATAAATACCTCCAAAATAAATCTTTATCTGTCTCAAAAAAATGCTAAAAAATTAATATGGGTACAGTGTTGCATGACCACGCAATTGTCATTCAAAGTGTGATAGCACTGAAAGCTGAAAATTGGCCTGGGCAGGAAGGGGGTAAAAGTGTCCAGACTTGAAGTGGTTAAATGGACTTTAGTGCGTTTCTACAAAAACCACTAAAAAACTCATTGGTGTGAGCCAAGCCTTAAGGTATATGGTTTAGTTGCAGATCTATAAGATTAGGGCTACTTATACTTATAGAGAACCTTTTGTGATTTAAATTATCGGGTGGCATTTAAAATAAACTCAGTGTTTTTGCCCATACAGCAGGTTTGTTGGACTGCCTTCCTCCCCATCAACACATCAGCTTTTCTTCAATGCCCTAGGACAGGGGTGGGCAACTGTGACCCTCCAGCTGTTGGTAAACTACAAGTCCCATCATGCCTCTGCCTTTGGGAGTCATGCTTATAACTGTCAGTTTTGCAATGCCTCATGGGACTTGTAGTTCTACAACAGCTGGAGAGCCACAGATGCCCACCCCTGCCCTAGGATATTGTTAGCCACTGAAAGCAGAAAAAATACCTGGTGCGCTCAACTATGATAAAGAATGTGCCAGTACTAGTTCTTTACCCAGTGGTGGGTGGGGATAGAGTCCTCAGTCCAGCATAAAGCTCCAACTACGTAGAGTAACTTGAAATTCAGATCAGCGCTTCCACTATCCTGTTAGCTAAATTAATGGGGGGGGGGGGGCAAAAGTATGTACCGCTAGGGGAGGAAGCATTCAACAAAACCTGTTGCTTTGTCTTGTAAATGGTTACACAGCTAAGAAATATAACTACAATAGATGCTGATTTTTATTGGATATACCCTTATAAATGCACAGAATATACTAAAGCAAGCCATACTCTGCTTGAATGCCAGACAATTCTTGTTGAATCAGCCAAAATCCAAGCCATGGGTGGTGCTGTTGACACCACCCAGCTTGCATAACGTTGATTTAAAAATGAACTGACCCAGATGTAATATTATTATTCTATCAGAGGCATTCAAGCAGCCAAGGTTCATGTGGCTGACTGAATGCAATAGACAACAGTACAAATTCCTCCGTCTATGCTGTTAAGCGTGGATGGAAGAATCTATTGATTTCTAAAAATACTATTTGTGCATAAAGTATTCTATACTTTATACATGAATTTTAGGAAAAACATGGAGCACGACCTAAACATACACCATATAGTGTATGTAATATGGTTACTGCACAGGAATCCTTGGCAGATGTACACTCTGTATAGGTTTCTAAATTAAGAAATGGAAGCTGAGCTGGTTGATGATGTAAGGTGATTTGGACTAAAAGGTCCTGGATGTCATTTCTACTTTTAGTATTAAAGGGGAAAAGATTAGTACTCCAGCCATTATCTGATGTTATAAATGAAAAGGTAAGACTCTCAAGTTTTTATTTGGAAGAATTACTCTCACACACAGTGACAGAAGTAATCAAAACAGTACATACAGTATGTATAGTATGTAATTATTTACTGTTCCTTTCCAAAAGTTGACCATAAATGAATCAAAATTTGTCCAGTTCAACAGGGACCAGCTAAATTTCATCCATCTATGGCCGTTCCCACTCAGGAAAAGTTGATCTAACGATTGCCTTCTCTTTACAGTAACGTTGGAAATTTTTAATTCATTCAGAACCTTCAGAGCAATCATTGTGATTCTGACAGCGGAGGAGTAGCCACTGTCAAAATACAATAGCTCAGCGGGGAGGATTCCTAAATCAACCTCGTTTGTGTGGATGGTGGAATCTG